GGCTTGTATCTTACCCCCTTTGTGTGATGTTGAGTTCTCGCAGATGTAGATGTATCCTGGCTGTTGTACTGTATCCACTGGTGTCTCTTTTAGGAATAATTGTATTTATTGTATTTTCATAAATATATATGTTTTGGGGAGGAGATTTCTACTCAACTACTCACGCCGCCATCTTCCCGTGATCCCCCCTGCATGACTTTTAACTCATTTATATGTTAGATTCGATATAAGAACATTTTCTTCATGAGTCCACTGAAAACATAAAAATTTGAACACCACTATGCTGTAGTATATGATTTCTTCAATAAAATGCAATGGAGTGTTACTTTTAAAAAAATACTGGAGAAATCAAAAACAACAGTTAGTGCTGTATTCCCAAACATTGGCTTCACAGTTAGTAATTCAAATTCCTGCTTCAGGAAACTTGCAAATCTTTCTAAAATTACCTTGCACATAGTCAAAAGCCCAGAGGTACAATCTGAGAATACCCAGGACCTGTTGCATAAGAAATAGATTTCTGTTCTTATGATATTCACCAGTGTTAATATATCAGTTTGTCCTAACAGGAACCCACCTCCTCTAAGATGTTTTGATCTAACAGATCTTTTTGAAGGGACTATTTTCAGAAGTTCCAGGCCAGGTTTAGGGTTGGGTGACGGGAAACACCATGACATGGAGGTACCCAGGGTCTTGCAACAGTAAGCAGCTGGGTAAGGGGAGGAGATCAAATTAGCAGGGCAGTAGAGAGGGAGCTGCCTTAGAGGCCCAAAGCAGGGAAAGAGGTAGGAAGGGAGAGCCCAACCTTTCTCCACTTCCACTCTCCACACTACCATTGGTACCATCCATTGGTCAATTCTACCTGGAGACCAGCTGGCAAGAAAGTCCAGAGAAAATAGTCCATGAGGGTTCCGCCTTCTGAAGCACACACAGAGTCTAGCAGAGAAGCATTCAAATGGACCCAACAGAGACCAAGTAGAAAATAACCAGCATATTTATAATAGTGCAATACTGGGAACCCAGATGTCCAATAATAGAAGAATGCTTAACTAAATGATGGTAGTAGCCTGTCTCTTTTTAAATAAATAATGTTACTCAAAACACCATTAAGTACTCAGGGAGCACAGAAAAGACAGCGACCAGCTCCATTTGGGGGAGTGGATTCTGGGAGGATTTTCTCAATTTGACAACTAAGGTACTTTGTGGCCATGCACGCAAAGTTTCCTGTATTTTAGTTTATTACAATAATAATACATATTCACTATAAGAAACAGACACAACAAAATAACAAATATCTGTGATTTCACTCCCACCACACTCAATATTTTACCATGTTTATGTCTTTCCAGACCTTTTCTATGCATATATACATGTGAGTATGTTGTATTTGGGATAATAGCATGAATATTCTTTTGTAAACTGTGTTATTCCACATGATAATAAATTATGAATACTCTCTCATGCAATAAATATCATTTCTGGAACTTTCAAAAACATTTAAAACTTTTAAAAAGCTTGTTTCCTCTTACCTGGTTGAAACTAATTTTGTCCTTGGATGTGTACTTCGTTGTCTCTTTCGGCTCTTACCAAATGCACTGTGATGAACTTTCTTGTACAGACTTGTTGCACACATTACTGCCTGCATGCCAATTTCAGGCCACAGCCAGCTTTTCTATGGCCCTCAAGCTAATAACAGCTTTCATATTTTTAAAGGGGGTTTCTTTCTTTCTTTTTTTTTAAAGCACATATACAAAGAAGAAAAGCAACAGAAACATATGTCTCCTGCAAAGCCTAAAGCATTTACTCTCTGGGCTTTGACAGAAAACATTGGTCAATCCCTGTACTATCATTTACCAGAAATAGAATTTTTGAGTCAAAGGGAGTGAACATTTTTGTGGCTTTTACTTCATTCTGCCCATTGCCCTCCAGAAACACTGCAGCAATTTATGCTCTTCTCAGTACTGAGCTTAGTCATTTGCCACACATCGTGCTTCAATGGCCGCTGGCCTACATCACTAGCTTTGAGTATTCATTTATTCTCAGTCAACTTAATGGGGCATTAGTATTTTAAGTTCTCACTTCTCTTAATATGTTTTGCCATTTACATTTTTCTCTTCTGACTTAAATAATTTACATTTTTGCCCATTTTTTAAACAGGGTATTTATGTTTTCTTTGTAAGACCTCTTTATTAAATAAGGATGTTATTCTCTTATCTTCACATACATTGCAAACATTTTTAAAAATAATTTTTACTTGGCTCCTAATTTTATCCTATGGGTCTTTCTGATGAAAAAAATTCAAAGTTCTATAGTCAACTCTATTACTTTTCTTTTGTTTTTGCCCTGTGTTTCAAGCTTACTTTGAGATTAAATGCAATTCACTTATATTTTCTCCTTGCACTTTTAAGACTTTAAAAAAACTTAATCTCTTGATCCTGCTTAAATGTATTGTCTGAGAAAGGTTTTTAAAGCGAATAGGTAACAATGTGAATCCTGGAGTCACTGCTGAGTTCAAATTTGTCCTCTCTGCATACTACATATTTGAGTAAATTACTTAACCTCTCTAAATCACAGCTTCATTCTTTATTAAATGGAGATAACACATTTTAATGCCTACCAGAAGGTTGATATAAGAGTGAACAGCTATAAAACACAAGAAGCACTTAGAATAGTGCCATTAACTAGTATTAAAGCTGTGAGAGACTACCCAGGCAGAAGAAATAACATGTACTTATGGGGTTCAGGGCAGGCCTCCTCAAAATATGTCACTTTGGTATATTGGTTATTTTGAATTAAAGTTAATTAAGAAACAGCTGGTACAAAAAGGACACACGGGCCCTCTTTTTTCCCTCTGAGAGCAGGAGATAGATTTCCCATGTAAAAGGTATTCTCCCTGTACCAGGAGAAAGATACTCTTATCACCAGGTAAGGAGTTTAGGGCTGAGAAGGATGTATAGGTAAACCTTGTCACTTCTTCACTCATTTATTATCCCAAACCCAAACTTCTTCCTCTTGTCCATTCTTCACAAATTTATTCTGTCTAAAAGGTATAAAAGCTGCCTGGGATGGTCACTTCTTTGAGTCTCCTATTTCTATGAGCTCCTGTACATACAAAATTAAATTTGTTTTTCTCCTGGTAGTCTATTTTATGTCAATTTAATTATTAGATCAGCCAAAGAACCTAAAAGGAAAGAAAGGAAAATTTTTCTCCACTGTAGTATAAAGGTATGAAACAAGTTCATGCATCCAGGAAATTAGATGGGGTGAGGTAAAATGGGGTGTCAAGTGTGAGGGGCAGGGCTGATGGACTGGAAGGGAGATGGGCCTGGAAAGCCAGGCCCAGGGGCTTGCTCTTGGTATTACCAGACTGGGAACCAATGAAGACCAAGCCAGCAAGAACCCCATTGAGCTGTGTTATGTAGAATGGTCTCTGTGGCGGCAAAGTGGAAAATGCACTGGCTTCAAGGTTCATATTGCTGTGTCACAGAAACAGGAGTCTCATGCTCCATCCTCTGCTCCCTAAATTCCTGCTCTCTAGAGGCAAATTCTTTCACCTTCTAACAATTCTGGTATTTGCCTCTTAACTTCTAAATATCGTGTTTAAACTACGTCTTGATTTTGCCACCATAGACATGCTTACGAGACTCATTCATAAGGAACAGTATGGGGATGGACCTAAGGAGCACTAAGGTGAAGGACATAAAAGATAAATCTGATAAGGAAGATAAAATCAAGTGGACTGGCTAGTGAGTGAAAGCTGGGGAGTGGAAAGGGGGGTCTGGGGGGAGTTATCTCAACTCAGAGACCACAGAAGTAGGCTGGGAGCAGAAAGGTAAGTTCAGCCTGGGAGATGTAAGGTTTTAAGCACCATTTCCTGGAGTACGACAAGTCCGGCTCCTGTCCTGCTGGTTCCTCCACGCGCCAGCAATGCAGGAAGCAGTCTTGGATGGTTTCCAAAAATGTAGATAAGAAACCTGCCGGCTAGAACTTAAAAACAGAGCTTCCCAACCTCATGCCATGGAATAAGTTACAGGTAGGTAGGTAGTGTTCCCCTCTGCGCCTCAGGGGAAAGGGCCCGGGCACTCCGGCGCGAGCAGTCTCTTCTGTTCACCCCATTTGGGGCCCGCACAGGAGATCATTTCCTACGTGTGCCGGGAGTGAAAGGATGTCTGAAGCACTGCTCTAGAAAGCCCGCGCGGCGTCCAGTCAGCTGGGCACGCTGCCGGGCCCCTTCTACTCACACTTCCCACTGCCTTTTAAACAACGTCAGTCCATTCCCCCGCCATCACCCATTCCTATCCCCAGCCACCATCCAAATCCGTCATGAAGGTACACGGAGCGCCAGAGTTTAAAGGGTTGGAGAGGGGCTCCCTACCCGTGATGCGCTTCCTGTCACGCCGGCGCCAGGCCCACACCTTATAAGGCAAACGCCAGGAGCCACTGCTGTGGTTCAAAGAACAACCAGCACAGTTGACTTTTCTATTAGAACAATGGCAGGAAGTCCATCTTCCCGGTTGCCAACACGCGTGTCAAACCCGTAACCCCCCCAAAGAGCAGGGGAGCTTGGAGGAAGATTTTAAAAGCGAATTTGGGGTTCGCTTCCTGGGTAGCTACAACAACAGAACGAAAACAGCGTCTTGGGTGACCCTGGGGCCCTTTTTCTCCCGGCACTGGCTCCGAGTCACCCCGCTCCCCCCGTGACGTCGCAGACACCCGGCCGGCCGGCCTGGGATGCCTTCGCCCGCCCCGGAGGCTGGGGCGTCTGCGCGCGCCTCGCCGCTGCGGCGCCGGGAGACGCGAGGGGGCAGCGGCCTGGCGGGTGCTGAGGTCTGCGCTCCAGGCCGAGGGGAGGCGCGCCGCGGCTTCGCCTGACCCCCGCGAACCCCGCCGCGCCACGCCCCGCGTGCTGGGGCCAAGCCCGTCGCCCGCCGCCCGCGCCCGGCCACCTCCCCCTCCTGCTCGGCGCTTTCCTCCTCCTCCTCCCCCGCCTCTTCCGTTTCTGGAGGGAAAGGCTGCAGCCTCCCTCTCCGCTCCGCATCCCGGCTTAGGTAATACGTTTTCCCCTTACGCCCCCCCTCGCCTCGGCGCCACTATCTCCCTCCTCCTCGGATCTGGGTCCCGTCGCCTCTCCGGACGGTAGGTGAGTAAATCCGGGCCGGGGGCCCCTTGCCTCTCCGCCGGCCCGCGATGACCTCCGTCCGCCGTGCCAGCCGGCCGGCCCGCCCCGCCCCGCATCGCTGCAGCAGCCAGCCGGGCGGAGGAGCTCGCGACTCCCGCGGCTCCCGCGGCTCTGCAGAAGGACTCAGAAGGGAGAGGGTGAGAAGAAAGATTAGCACGCAACTTACAAAAAAAAAAAAAAAATCGATCATTAGCACTTTTGGTCGAAGAAGCTGATCTGACAGTTGTGGAGAGCAGTAGCCCAGGTTCAACAGGTAGATGGCGTAGCTGTCAAGCGCCTCGGTTTTGCCTGGAGAGATGCTTCTGTATGTCCATAGCTGCTGGCTGCTGCTATGACCTACTAGATGGGTGTGAAATAAACACGGTGGGACTATATTTAGAAAAGGCTTTTATTTACCTCCTTGATTTTAGTTCTCTGCACTTCGAAAGGCAGTTTTGTGATATGTCGTAGTTGGTGAGACCAGAATTAGTAGGTGGGAAAAAATATTTAACATGGGTTTGGCCGAATCATGTATACAGTTAGACCCACGGGTGTGTATTTTGGAGATTTTGTTCTAAAGCCAATTTTAAGGTGTTGAATAAGCAGAAGTTTGCCTTCTCTGTGAATGGCTTTCACCTCAAAAGAACAGCGGGTTAAAGCTGCATGGACAGGCCACTGAACTGCATCCTATATGTTGAATACAACATTTTTGGGCCCTTTTCCTGTGATTCCTAGCCTTCAAATAAAAGAAATTGATAAGAGTCCGCCCTGCTGAGCCTGATCATTGTCTAATGATTAAAGTAATCCTGTAATCTACTATTGACTGATGAATTACCTTTCTGACCTCATTTTTACCTATTAAAATAGGGAATATAAGGGAAAAATTAAGGGCAATGGAAGAGTTCATTTTATCAACAGATATTTACATCCTTATTTAGAACCTACTTTAAGCTTCTGTGGATTTTCATACTATAATTGAAGTTCTTAATCTTGAAGAGGATTAGGTATTTTGTATAAAGTTACACTTTACTTTTTGCATAGAATAAGCTACCATTTATTTTCAGGCTTTGGACAATACCACCACTTGCTTGGAAATTGCAGCTTGGACTCATGCCATATAAAGTGAAATATCTTATTACAGATATAAATTAAAGCTATATTTGCTGTAGTCCTGAAAGAAAAATGAAAACAAGTCTTATTTGATATATAGGCCTGTGAAACGAAACTTATAAAGCTCTTCGTTATATATGTATTTCCCCTTTTATTTCTGTCTCTGAGAACAATTAGAAAATACACACCCATGGGTCTAACTGTATACATGATTCGGCCAAACCCATGTTAAATATTTTTTCCCACCTACTAATTCTGGTCTCACCAACTATGACATCTCACAAAACTGCCTTTCGAAGTGCAGAGAACTAAAAACAAGGAGGTAAATAAAAGCCTTATTCTTTTTCATCTTGTAGAAATTCTAAAAGATAACTATGTTATATAAAGTGATAATAAAAACAAATTTATGTATATTGAGGATGAAGTATATGAGAACTTTTTCGGAATGTGTGTCCTTTGAACCTTGTAATGAAGCTCATAAAACTCTTTACATTGATGTTTTTGTTTGGTTTAGAGTTTAGACAGAAAAGCAGAGTTGACATCACTTGGCTTTCCTCTTACATGAGTAATGTCAAGCAGTGTTTCCAACACTTTTATAATTTAAAAAATTACCCAGGATTCACATATAAATCAAGTATAAAAATCAAACAAATATTCACATTTGACCTGATTATAGTTCATAATGCGTGATCAAAACTGAAAGTTTCTGTGATGACTGCCCGTGCACTGTTCACCATGTAAGAACTTATTCACTATGTAAGAATTTGTTCACCATGTAAGAACTTGTTCGTTATGCTTCAAAAGATTGGAGACTGTTGAGAATTAGGCTTGGGGTTGATAAATGATTGTGCATTGAGTCCCCTATACAGAATTTTATTGTTGTTAACAACCATTTGATCAATAAATATGAGAGATGCCCTCTCAAAAAAAAAAAAAAATTACCCAGGGTCCTGGGGAAGTTGGGGTGGAGGTGGGGGTTGTTTGTGTAATAGGGGTTTAAAAAAAATTTCCAGGTTTCAACTTGGGACTTCTTGAATCAGAATTTTTCAGGGGAAGAAGATACTTAAAAATAGATCAAAGGGATAAAATTTAGAAGAGCAAACCAAAAACAAACAGAAAAGGCAAGACTGGGAAACACAAGTAGAAAATAAGTGTTACTGGAACAAAAAGCTGACATAACCTATTAGCATTCCTGTACAGGAAATGTTCTTAAGTGGAAGCTATGGTTTTACTAATATGATGATGTCACCCATTTAGGAAATCTGAAGTTTTTATATTCTTTGGTAGTCAAGCCTTCTGGTAATTGAATTTAAGCAAATATTTTTGCAAATTTAGTCTCTTTTATATGATGAACAATCTTAATTCAAGTCCTTTAGTATTCTAAGAGCATTTTATTAGTGGATTTTAAATGCAGATTACTATGACTAGTAATCCACAGCAAAATATTGTGCCTGATCCTTTCTTTCACAGAACAGATTTGTTACCTCCTGTGTTCCTAATTGGGGAAGATGGGTATGCAGATTTTAATAACTTATACTTTTATTAAAATGGCCCAACCCCATCCAAAAAGAAAAAAAGCAACATATTTGGGCATAAAACATGGTTAATTATAGGTAAGAAAAATGAACAAAATAGAGTATTACCCATCTGTGAAAGATTTGTTAAGATGAGTAACCACAATGGAATGTCGGAATTTCCTTTGATTTCCTTCTCTCTCCATTCTTTTTCTATATCTTTTATCTTTTCTTTGATGGGGGGAGGATTGTTTCCTTGTTATTTTTAACCAATTAAATATTTAATTGGTTAAAATAAATATTTAATTGTTTAAATAAAATCTAAATTATCCAAATTTGATGTAAATATTTGCTAACTTATCAATGGACACTTAAACTTGTCCTTTTTTTTACAGAGTGATGATGGTTCATGCTAATGGAATTTTTAATTCATAGCTGTAGAGGTCAATTCAAATGGCCAAAGGAAACTACTTTCAGTATTGCTTGAAGAAAACCTAATTTAGTTAAAGTGATAAATTTCCATTATCTGTAGGCTTCATTATCAAAAAGCCATACATTTTCATTATCAGTAGCTTTTAAAATAGGATCTGATCTTCCAAGTTCTAGAAAACTCCTCAGTTAATTCCTAGGAATTTGCAAGAATCACAAATAATCGAGTTTGATCTGGAAATAATGAAAGGGCTGTTTTAAGAATATGGCGGACTGTAAGCATCACGAATAGCAAATAGGGGAAATAGAAACAATCGCACTTGGAAGATAAATATTAATCACTGTAGACATTTATCTATGGTAGTGGGTTTAGCAAGAATGTGAAAGCAATCAGTACATTTGTATATTGGTGTGGCTCTAATGAGTCATTTATATCTTTTTAGTACTTTGACCTTTTCAAGTAAAAGGTACTGTAAATAAACTATCAGTTTGTGTTCCTTTAAAGGCAAATGTTACATTCATTATTCAGTATTCAACATTTCTAAATATCTTCTAAAAAAAAATTTGTCTCTAAAAAATGGAAGTAGAATAAAAACTATACTACTATGTATACTTCTATACATTATGTATCATACATATATACATACACATATATAAATATATAATTTAAGACCTTTGCTTTCTTACTCCAATATTCAGAGAACATAGTTTAGATCATGTAATTTACCATTGTAGAAATAAATAATAACCATCTTTTTAAAAACTCTCCAAAGAAATCCTCTGAATCACACTTCTTAATAGTTACAATCCTAAAATTTGCATAATGAATAATCCCTTACAGATTAATTTTGATGCAAAAAAATCCTTTAAGAAATATGTTTATCTCTAATGGAAAGAAAATCAGTCAGTTAATTTACAGAAACTCCCACCCTAGGTCCTGAAGAGATGTAAAAAAAAGGTCTGAGGGAGCTTACAGCTTCTTAGAGAACATTGGAGCCCCAGGGGCTGGTGTGGGTGGGGGCCTAGGCCCTCCTCAAAATGCCCTGCTCACATCCAAACCACTGTATACAGTATAAACATACAATCTAAGTATTAAAAACCAGTGTGATTGTTGTGCAAAATCTGTTTCAAGATAAATAGCCTGGGGTCCATCTTTCAATCCAATTTTCATGCCCCTTCCCCAACCTTTTTTTTTCATTCAATCAACAAATATTTATTACACTCTTTTTAGGTAGATGATAAATATGAAAAGCTTTAAAAATTTTTTGAACCTGTGCTTTTGGTTTTTACTCTTTAAACAATTACAATAAAATTATATAAAATATACCATATTAGCCATTTTCAAGTGTACAATTCACTGATATTAAATACATTTTCATTGTTATGCAACTATCACCACTATTCATCTCCAGAACTTCTTGTCATTTGAAACTAAAACTCTGAACCCATTAAACACTAATGGAACTATTGTGTTCCTTTAAAGGCATTATAATAAAATACTACAGTAAGAGAGCAAAGGTCAGAGATTATATATTTATGTATATATGGGTGATATATAATGTATAGATGCATATAGTATATATCATTTTACATGGCAGCATAGATCTTATTCTACCTGCATTTTGTAGAGGCAAATGTTTCTTTTTCAAAGATATTTACAAATGTTGATTAGAATAATAAAGAATATTGAATGTAATTACATTTGTCTTTAAAGGAACACTAATGGACCTATTCCCCTCTCTCCTCAGCCCTGGTAACCACAATTCTACTTGCTCTCTGTATGAGTTTTTCTACTCTGGGTACTTCATGTAAGTGGAATCATAAAATACTTGTTCTTTGGAGTCTGACTTATTTCACTTAGCATAATGTTTCCAAGCTTCAGGTTGTATCATGTACAGAATCTCATTCCTTTTTAATGCTGAGTAATATTCCCCAACCTTTTTTATAAGGAAAGCAGATATAAAAAACAAGGAAATTTTGAACTGGAATAGACCACAGACATAATCCTTTCAAATCTCTTTGTCCCGCCTTTCTTTTCCTTTTTTATGTTACAAAAATGAGGAAAATAAGTCCCTGAGAGCTTACGTCATGGCAAGTTTTCATACTTGGTTGGTTAAAGGCAAACCAGAGCCTAAGAACCAGCCCTCCTGTGACCCGAACAAAGGCTCTTTCTACCAGACACACACTCGACCCCTATGGACAATAAAAGGCAAGTGTTAGACAGGTTGATGGCCAAAGTAAGTGTTGTAGAAGTTCAGAAGGAAAGATAAAATGACTGAAGCTACATTCAAAAGGAAATGTTCTAAATGGATTTGAGAATTAACAAGACTCTAGATTCTGATTAATAATGATCAAAGCTATAAAGAATCCACTGGAAAAGATTCTTTCTAGAAGCCATACGTCTTGTGTCTTTTCCTTCTGCCTTGAAGTACACACTACATTTGTATGATTAGAAATATTTATTCTTTCCTACAGTTAAGATAGTTACACCAAATCTGCTTCAATTTTTTATATTCAATGTGATTTTAGGTTTCATTTGTGACACTATGGTTGTTCTAAAAACGTGTCAGCATACAGAAATTTTAAGCATATAGTTGGAACATAGCACATAGAAAACTAAATGAATAGAGTTTCTATTTAGTGAAAATGTTCTATGAAAAAGAGGGCAAAAAAGGGTCACTATCAAGTTTAAAAGTATTTCTAAATGGAATACTTTTTCATAGTTTCAGATGAGTTCTGAGAAGTCTCTGAAATGCATACTTTGCACAAGTATTATGCTTAATGTGGAGTACTTATTATGTACATCAATTTATGATTTTTTCTAGCATTTAATTTTTGTTACCGAAAAGGCAAGTAAGTTGGCCCTTACCCGACTGAGGCTATCATTCCAACGGAGCTATAAGAGACCCTCTTCTGCTCCTAAGTAACCCAATGAGACTTTGCTGTTGCAACTGCTGCTTCCTTAAACTGTCAGATAAAAATCAGCTGAGCGATGTTCCTTGTCTTCAACCTAGATCTACTCAATCAGTATCTCCAGGGGAAAAGTCCAAAAATCTGTATTTCTAACAAGTTTCCAATTAATTCTTGATCTTACTAATTTATAAAACACTGCTTTAGCACAAGCTCTCATGTACAAGCTACCAGAATGGGAACTGAGGCCGTCTTTGTGGTCTACTGCTTGGAGCAGAATCAGTGAGCAAAAATATGGGCTAAGTGGTCCATGAGCAGCCTTAATGAGAGCCAGGTTGAGGTAGACTGATTAGGTTAGAATGGCATGTATTTCAACACTATTTGTAGGTCAGGAAGGAGGGATGGAGAAATGTTAAGGTTGAATAGATGAATTTACATATGCCATACTTAATGTCTTTTTTAACAAAACCATTAAAAAATAGTAAGCTTACTATTTTTGGTCATTTAACAACTAAATTAATCTTGTTTACATGGCAGAGCATAATTTCAGATTCTGATTGGGCACTCAAAAAATGTAGTCCAGTTGCTGGTCATCCAGATATAGCTTTGGTGTGTTTTTGTAAATGAACACAGAATACACATAGATTTCTTTATAAATAGATGAATATGGGCTTCTGTGCTTAATGGCATCTGGATAATGCTGACAAAAATTCAAGTACAATGAACAGTATAACAAGCATGAATTCTGTACTTACAAAGCAAAGAGGAAATTCATCAGCCAATATTTATTGAAGTATCTGCTAAGGGTCATAAGAAACCACACACATTTAAATCATCTCCTGCCAGACAGATAAGCAAACCAGTGTACAGTGTGTTGGAGAGCTGGGGCAGAGATTTGGCTGCCTCCATTCGCCCATGGCCCAGGTGCCACAGATGAGGAGGGTCAGGAGTGGCTCCTGAAGAGGCCAACTGGTAAACTGACTGCCTGTCTACATACACACACATACACACCTCACCTCTTTGAAAAAACTTTTTTCGAATTAGAAATACATACAGAAAAGTATGCAAGTCCTAAGTGTATAGCTTGATGAATTTACACAGTCACCTCAGTCATGTAACCCTTGCTCAGATCCAGAACATTCCCAGGGCCTAAAAGCTCCCTTTATAGGCCCCCATCAGTAACCACTCCTTCTTCTCCAAGGGTAGCCGCCACCACCACCACTGTGACTTATAACACCATCACAGGCTGGTTTTGTCTATTTTCAAACATCAAATAAATTGCACAGCTTATGCCTTTTGTCTCTTCTTTCACTCAACAGTATGTTTTTGTGAGATGCAGCCACGTTGTTGCCTATAGCAATAATTCACTCATTCTTACTGGGGTATAGTATTTTCTTATGTGAATATGCCACAATTTATTCCGTTTTGTTATGGATGGCTATTTGGGTCATTTCTAAATTATGCTGCTCATAGCTGAATGCAATAGCTGAAATTGGATATGCAATGGTATCCTGTTGTGATTTTAAGTTGCATTTTCTTAAGTACTAATCAGGTAGACTGTCTTCCCATATGTTTGTTGGCCATTTGAATATCCTCTTTTCTGAAGTACACCTCATAGCTATTTTTCTGCATGTCTTCTAATGCATATGTGCATGAATTTCTTTGGGGTATATGTATCTACAAGGGAAATTTCTGGATTATGGGTTATGCTTATATTGAAAAAATGACAATTTTCCAACATAGTTGTGCCAATTTCCTTTTACACTAACAGTATACAAGAGTCTCATTGCTCCACATCCTCAACAAAACTTGAAGTTTTCAGTCTTTAAGTACAGCCCCACACTGTACTACTTAATGAATTCTGAGAAATGTTCAGCAGTCAAATATCTGACAACTGAACAAAGCAAATACCCTGGAAGGACAATTCCATTTCCAATGAGCTAAAAGTATTTTTAAATCCCTAGTAATGCATGTGGTACAGTTTCCCCCTGGGCTAGGTAACCAGGTGGGCAGAGGGGAATTTCATAGAATAGAAGGGGAGGCTACTGCTAGCAAGTTGCAATTTAGCCATTGCTGGTTGCTACAGTTGAGCAAATTCCGTCCCCAACGTACTCTGTGTGGCCCACATGTTCTCCATCCTTTCTGCCAGGGCAGGCCCATTCTTTAAACTATTCCCTAAAGCCCCTCTAAGGAGCAGGAAGAGGAATGGGAACAAGGTTTCCCCTGCAGCAACATTGTGAGCTACACAGAGCTTTGGCCCTCAGCTGTGCCCACCTAGGGAGACTCTTAGCTGCACCCCCTTTACAGAGGTCACCACAAACACCTTGTAAAACACCCAGGTATTTTGTGGAAATCCAGCCTTTTCCCCAAACATAGCTGTTGGGTAGGGCTGCCATATGGTCATTTCAAAGAGCCAATCCTCAGAGGATGAATGAAAGACTGAATTCAAGATATCAATGCAGTGTCATTATATAATGGGCAAAAATGTGGGCTCTGTAGAAGTAGTGAGGTTGATTATCTGCACGAAGAAATGAATTGTCAGTGGAAATGCTTTGACCTACTTGCCTGTTCATTAGACAGCAGTTCTGTTTTGTTGAGAGCCCTTATCTGTGTTGTCACATTTCTGTCACTGAACAGGGCAGGGCCAGCTCCTGATACAACCAGACTTTTCACATAAGACCAGATACCTATGGCCCTAGAATCCCCACAAAATATCCTGACAAAATGTCTCCTTGACAGAATAGTGACCTTCCCAATCCATCCCTAGATGGTCTACCATTAGGCCAGAGTAGTCTTGCAGTTTCTAGAAGCCAGTTTTCACTCAGACACCCAGAAACTGGAGCAATCAGCTCTGGCCTACATAAAGGAACTTTATTCTGGGTCACTCAGAGAATTACAAGCAGTTCCCAGCCTTTTGGATTTAATGGACTAGTAAATTTTCAGGAAAGATCTTAGGGACCCATATAAAATTACTCACCTCTTATTTTCTCAAGTAAGGACATGTGACTGTGGTTTCTGTAAAGTTGTATTTAATAGTCATAGCTGTCATTTTTTATCTACTGTATATAAGGCATTTCCAGAAATAACTCATTAGATCTTCATAGTGTCCCTGCAAGGGAAGTATTACTTTCATGTTACAGATGAGAGAGGTTCAGAGAGGGTTAGTCAATTACCTGATCCCACACAGCTAGCAAATGGCAGTCAGGTTTTGAACACAGGTCTGATTACAAAGCCTGCATCTTTGCACCTGTATTGTTTATCCCATCTGAAGTATGTATATATTATTCAGAAATGATTATTGAATCTCTGGTTTTCCGATGAGATGATAGAATGGTCAGGAATTAAAACTGAGTTTTGTCTTTATAGAGAGATTCAGGCTTCCAGGAAGGGTCTTAAGAGCCTTTTTGTTTGTTTTAACTGACCTACTTCAATTTATTCAATATTTCCCCACCTGAATATGAAAATCCAGGAAAAGTTAAAGAGACCATTTCTATCTGACATTGTGATACAATCTTATGTTAACATACAGATAATACATTTGGTTTGAGATGGTGAGGAATATCACTTCTTTAAACCTGTTCTGCTCAAATGTACTTGACATGAGTTGTCTCAAGTAAAGGTTATTTTTAGTGTTCACTGCATCATTAATGACTGGCTGTTAAAGTGAATAGCTGCCAGTGGAAAGTACTGTCTCACAGAATTAAACTTACTGATCACATAAATGGAACAAGAACCCTAATCCATCTTTACTTTAGTCAGAAAACAGAAGACAAAGGAATAAATTGTGTTGGCATTTCCTGAGTTTATCAAGATCTCTCTTTCAGGAGAGAGGTCATCTGCTGAATTTTATTCCCTCAAAATTTGCTGAACGCCTCACCCCCCCAGCACCTCAATGTGA